TTTTACATCTTCTACAATCGGCTCATCAGTCTGAGAAACATCGCCGAGCATGAAATTTAACAAACCGAAGAATAAAAGGTCATGACAAAAAAAGAAAAGAAAATGCAAAAATCGTTCTCACCTGAAGCTTCTTCTCGAGCTCTTCAGCAATGGCAGCAGAAGTCGCACGTTGCTCAGGTTGTACATCGGCGGATTCAGTGACTACTGCAGGAGGAGACATTGCTTCCACGGAGAAGATTTTAGGGTTCCGATTGGATTTTTCGTCAGCCGAAATGGATAAGGAACGGTGCGGTGAGTAGTGAAGAAGGCGACTCCGAAAGATCTTTTAGGTTCGTCTCCTAATGGGCCTTTTAGTGGGCTTTTCTCTTTTATTGGGTCGGGTTTTGAACACAAATCAATAAAAAAGAAGTTAAGTAAACGAAGTGAAATTAGCAACCAAGTGGGTGATCAAGAAACAAAATCTCCATTAAAATAGTGTACTTTATTTGCATAATCAATTATCATACTCATTCATAAGTTTTCTTACAGCGAAAAAAATTGCATGGAGATGGAGGATAAGAGATCATAATCAAACTCTAGGAGGAGGTCAAGGAAGAAAGTTACAATTAAGGTCAAGAGATCATAATCAAACTCTTGATGTTTCATCTTTAGGAGGAGGTCAAGGAAGAGAGTGAGGATGATATGGTTATTACAATGGAAAATTAGGCGCAATTCAACATTCTAATGATATCTCAAGGATTTTGAATGCAATATATTTTTGACAAATGGTTTTATATAACCATCGCCTTTGATTCGTTAGAAAGATTGGTCTTTTTATTTATTTATTCGGCCTAGTCAAAAATATCTTAACTTATGATGATTGTTGCATAGAATTATAAAGCCATGACTAAATTTGGTTAAATTTAGACATGATGTAGGTGATGATGATAAGAACACAAAGAGGAAATGAAGTTATTATGTTTGAAAAGAGAATCACAGAGCAGAGAGTTCGACTTCTTGTGTAGAAGGTCGATAAACTACGAAGGTCCTATCAGTTGAAAAGGAGCCTGGATTGAAACATGTTGTTCCTTCAAGTTTGACCACCTTTTGCTCACTATTGTCACCTAATACAATCTGTTTTCAAACATCAACAATAATGTTTTGTTTTGTTTTTCTTTTTACCAAACTAGGATCTATAATAACAAGATTTAAGAATATACCGTATGAGGAGTTGGGTACAGTCGAAGACAGTGATCATAGTTCCAAATGATGGGCTGCACCAAGAGAGGTAGGGGACATAGATGACTCTGATGAGTTATTGTGGAGACAAGCTGAGCCAATACATTTTCAGATTATCCGTCATTACCCGAAAAACTTTAAAATCCAAAAGTTGGAAAATAATGGAGACAAGAGATGGTTTTTACGTGTTGAAATGGGTCATTAGTTTCTTCTGAGGAAGGAGTTATTAAGCATGAACTGCGCATCCGGTTCAGAAGGTCTTGTCGGAAGAACACAATCTCCTTGTTGTAGAACTTCACTCTGCATTTGTTTACAAAGACAAGATCATTGCTAAATCTTTTGTGTTCTATCCATTTCAATAAAATCATTCAAATGCTCCTAATAAGAATGACCAACAGATAGAGTTCACCTGCAAGGATTGCTTAAGAATATCGCATTGGGAATAACTTGTTGAAGCTCTTCGGTTAAATAGTTTGGTAAACGGCACTTTGGCAAGACTGTCGAGGGACCTGTCAGAGACATATTGAGTTTATATTAGTCATGTCTCCTCATGGACCCTGAATTTGGTTAGGTAGTCATGGAGATGGTACGTACCTGCGTCATCAGGGCCTGGAATAAATAAAAACCGACTGTTTTCTTTTAGCCGTGAATGTTTTCCAATCATTTCTCCAAGTTTACCAAACTGCTTCCTAGAAAATGAAACAGACAGATGTCATCAAGGATACATGAGAACACATTTTCGATGACAATGGAGCAGATTCTAACTAGAAATGATCCCCAACCTCAAGCTTGAATAAGAACTGAACGATAAGTTGCAAGGGCGAGAGCAAAAGTTTCCCATGAAAACAAACAAAGAGGGCACTATCTCCAGTCTTTTAAAACCATCCAGAACAGTTTCCAGCTTCCCGAGAACCTTCATATACCACAGAAAACACATTTGTTTGGCTGATATCAAGAAATGCTCTTTAAGCACAGAAGGATGCATTAGATGGTAAAATACAGCATTTGGTAAAACCTCCAACTCACCTCTTGGTCATCCAGCCATATGTCAGACAAGATGACAAATGTGTCATTCACGGCTTTTCTTTCTAGGTCTGCAAGTCTAATCTGTGATCAGATTATACAAAAGAAGATATTTATTTCTGCTATATATGACTTGACTGGAAATTTACAAGTATCTCAATTCACAAGTACAAACAAAATGACTCAGGGAATACCATCTCTTTTTTAGCTGGCATGGGACCTCCAAAGAAGTTGTTTCCAGAATGTGCCTTTAGGGTTTTATCCTTGTCTTCTAAAGGGGGAAATCCGCATACAATAACCTTTAACAAAACATGAGAAAAATGGTTTTAGAAGAGGAGGAATTAGTCAGAGAATGTTTGTTTGAACCTTTGTGATGATCAAGGCTGTTGATCCATGAGTTCGACAATAAATTTATATACGGTAAAGGATCGGAAATTCTCGTTTATTGATATTAACTCAGAAACGGGCTACTACATAGGGAACTGTACATGCTAGAAAAAGATTGTGTATTGAGCTCGGAAGCTTAGGTCGGCTGACGAACCTTGTGTTCGGTTATCTGAGTATCTGAGTGAGTTTATGAGACCGTCGCTTTCAAGGTCGGAACCTGTAATTGAAAACGAGATCGGGTTAGAGATCCAAACTGACTGAATAAGTGGACGACGAGGTCGGTGAATCGGAGGTCGGAACCTGATGATAAGTGCACTCGAGGTCGGAATGCCGGTGTGATAAGTACGAACTCTGCGNAGCCTTTNCACGAGTAGTTCTTGTCCTTTCTGATCAATCAGGCTCGATCAGGTGATTCTTTCCCTTTTGGTGTTAGAGAATGATTGCTTTAAACTCTCAAATTCCCTTGTACTTGCCCAAAAGTGGAAAAGTGATCCCCTTCCTCATGGGATGGGGACCCCTATTTATACTAAAAGTGGAGAGAATAAGGTACTAAGGCTTCCTTGGGACCAATGCTGATGTCATTCAATGCAAGAGGCGGCTGAGCTTATTTTAGGCTTGAATCATCAGTTGCTTCGGCGAGCTCGGTAGACTCCCTCCTTCGGGGCCGAGCTCGTCGTGCTTTCCTCTTCTGGGCCGAGTGTTATTGGGTCATTCTGTTCGCTGGGCCTTTTTCGGAAATGGGCTTCAAAAGTGGCAATATTTGAAGCCCATGCCCAATAGTAGCCCCCCTAGTCGGCGAGTAGATGGGCTTTGGGCTCGTCGATGCGGTTTCAAGGCCCACGAAACATTCGGCCCATTTTTTCCTCGCTTCTGATTGGCTGTCGTTGGGCGGGGTGCGAGCATCGAGGTGACTCTTCGTCTTCCCGACCTCGGCCTATATAAATAACCCTTCCCCCTTCATTTTTCATTCTGCGTTTTCCTGACTTTTACGAAAGTACTTTCTCTCTCTGTCTTCTCTCTAACTTCTCCATACTTTTCTCGCTGCTCGACCTCGTTTTCTTCCGATCTTGTTCTTAACGCTTCCTTAAGCTTCCGATCTCGATTCTCCATACTTGCAATCATGTCTGACTCAAATGAACGCGAGGAGTCCGTTTCGGCCCATTCCGACGAATCTGAGCGTCTCCAATACTCGTCTCGTCAAGACGAAGAATCTTCAAGCGGGCGCTCAGCGGATTCGGCTCCTCTGATCCGGAGAACTCGTCAGTCCCGTCAGTCTCGTGATGAGACTGCTTCTAGCTCGAGGCGAGCTTCAGCGCCGACTACTCTCCCGCGGCCGAGCTCGAATCGTCCTCAAGATGGCAGTGGGACTCGAGCTACAAAGAGCCTGGCCCTGACTCCTAGCCCGTCTGACCCCGGGTACGAGACTGCTCAGTTCGAGCTGGGCGATGGCAACCGTTCCAATGCTCCCGGGCTTAGAGGTAGGGTTATTCTTCAGGGCAAGGATAACCTGCCGACGGGGTCGGACGCGGCCTCACTTGCCGCTCTCCGGTCT